ATGACTAAAACTACTCTTTAAAAACTGCTTTTGCTGAGCACTTTGGCGTCTTTTGAATGATTGCCACTTACTGTTTTTGCTAAAAGTAGTTTTGTTATAGTTTTCACCTGTTTAGAAAGTGTCATTTCTATTTTTAGCGGATGATCTCTTCCGCGAAAAGGAAATTCTTTTTCGTTACTGAAGCAGTGCTTGGATTACCTGTTCCCTCCAAAGAATAACTTCATTGTAGAACTGGAAGAGGACATCAGCGTGATCACTTTACAAATGGCCGTGCTCGGCAACGTTACAGCGTCGCTGCTGTGCTGGTACAGCAGTGGTCGAAGTTCCGCTAGTGCTTTAAGAGCAGCAGTGCTTTTGAGGTGCCCCGTACATAGCTAACCCTGCTGGAAGTCAGTTTTTAAAGAATCGACAACCTAGATGACTCTCTAAGTTGCTCACTTTTATGAACTTCTTTGCACGACGATGTAAAAGGAGCCAAATGAATAATTTTTAGCGGTATTTAATTTAGGCAGAGCGCAGCTCAAAGCAACAGTAACAAGAACGAATTAACAAAAGTAGGCCGAGAACAACGCATGAAGCTGAGATTTAGGAAATAAGGGAACTCCATCCGGTCACGATTTTTCACGAAAATGCTGAAGCGCCCCTCCAAATCTCATAATTCTATTTTAAATGGGCTTAATAAGGAGACCAAAATGAGGTTCACTAAGTACCACGAGAACATTAAAGCAACAAATTAAATCATTGAGGCATTTCAGCCGTTGGACCATCGCCGCCATCACGTTTTTTCGTGCCAGAAACAATATCATCTATTCTCAGTAACATAACCGATGTTTCAACGGCAGTTTTCAGCACCTGGAGTCGCACAGAAAGAGGGTCCCATATTTTAAGTGTGTTCATATCTACCTAGAATTTAGCTTGAAATAGAATCTATCATAAAAACATCATAAACTGGTGTCTGCTACTACCTTTCAATATAGTCTATATGCCAGTGAGGAACAAAGCTAAAATAGGATCAAATAATCCCTTAATCTCAATTTTAATTATTCCTACTAAAGACAGTTTCACTTAACCTTTTGATACTTGATATCATGACAGTGAAAAAAAAAATAGGAAATGATAACCAGTTGTCCCGTAGTGCCGTCAATACCCCAAGTCCAGTTGTCTGAAGATTGTGCATGCTTAGCCCTCAAAGCGGTAAGTTGCCGTATTGTTGAACCACCACAGTTCTGAATAAGTGTGCGAGGAATAACTTCAAGAGCACGTGCTACCGCCTTGAAAGGCCACTGTCTAACACCCTCAATTGATTTTCCTTTTTCATTTAAAGCCTGAAACGTTGAGTAGGGATATAAAACGAGAATGAAAAATTAATATAAAAATCGTTTCAAAAGAATGAGCAATGATGTTCAACTTGAAAATAAGGAAAATAAATGGACAACGAGCAGCAAAACATTGCGTATCCTGCAGAAGAAAAAAAAATACATTTGTACATAAACTAATATACAGTATGAAGAGCCATCATTTTTCAAACTTTATCCAGTAAATAAGTATTGCAGTTATTTTTCTCTGCAGAAGTTGAACAGTCATAACCAATGGTTAGCAACAATGAAAAGAGTTACAAATGACTTACTACTTGAAGTTCAAACAGTGGAAAGGTACAGGTTGCACAAGAAACCTTATTAAAAACGCCTGCAACTGAGAACCCCATTCCTCCACAAAAAACCATGTTCACAAGTAAACATTCAATGTAACCAGTTAGAATAGTAGTTTAAAATTTCTATCTCTGTATATAACTACGTCCCACTCTTTAAAAAACTTCACAGTTTACGAAAACACTTCAGTACTTGGTCAAGTTTTTTTGCAAAGCTTCGTTTCAGTTCTTGAACTGGATGCCATTAACAGTAGCGAAATATGCCTCTCTAAGGCTTCCTTTCAGCAGATCAACCATTTGTTTCAAGTGTTCATAAATAAATGACCAAACAACTGCTTTACTCAACGTTAGACCACAGAAAACTCACAACTGAACTCCTCTATTGTGAACAGGTGCTCGGGCTTGATAAAACTGTCAACTTTTGGCTTTCAAAAAGTTAGGTGCAGCACTGTTGCTCTGCAGCTGATATAAATGTCTTTTGAAAATTAAACTGAGAAAGTACTCGTTTTTCTTTACAATTCGAGGCATTAAACTTTTGAAAAACTGTTCCTTACAAGCTTTCTGCTGCTTCAGTATTTCGAAATCTGTTTACGAAAGCATAGCTTCCATCTTTGAAAGTCACATTTTTAAACGCATTATTCTTGCACACAAAAAACAAATTTTTAACTATTGAAAACCTTCCATAGCACATTTTTTATTAACAGTAACAACTCTTGTTTCTTATACTAACGCGCATAAGTTTTTAAAACAAAAAAAAAAAATTCATTCAGCTTTGCAGCCATCTTACGCGCAATTTGTCAGTTGTTTTACCAAAACCACGTTTTTAAACCAGTCAGAGCTCCAATTATTAGATAAAGAATCAAAAACGAAATCCTCGGAGTTGCCAAACAAAAGCTAACTTTAATTGTAAATTCTAGCTGAACTGACTTTACATACCTTCAAATAAATAAAGAACATTTTACCTTCGGGCTCATTAATGCGAGTTCCTGTTAACCGAAATAAAAATTATTAGGCAAAAGCTTCAATATTATGACTGCAAAAACTGCTGCTCTCTTCATGAAAAACTCCTTCCCGACCCTGTATGCTCCTTCTGGTCACCCATTCAGAAAATGTAAAAGTAAAATGTGACTATTTGAGTATTTGTAAAAAGGTAGAAAAAGCTAACCTGAGCCAAAGCCATTTCTAAAGCACCACCACCAGGAACCAGGCGTGGATTAATAAGCACGTTCCGAACAACATTCAAAGCATCTTGAAGATTCCGTTCCATTTCATTTATTATGTCCTATAAAATTTAGAATCAACGACTTCAATGGTTAAAAATAATTCTGGGAACTCATGATTTAGAAGATTATCTGAAATCCAAGTTGAATAAACCCACCTAAAAAAAAAAACGCATACACTCTGCATTTAAAAAGTCACTCAAAACGTACCTTGCTTGGACCTCTCAAAACTAATGTAACTGCTGTGGTTTCTTTCGACGTCACGTATACGTAATATTCGTCACCGATTTTACTGACCTCGAACAAGTCAGCTTTTGTACCAACATCTTCCTCTTTGAGATCTTGTGTGTCATTTACAATGGTAGCACCTGTCACTCTAAAATAATTTACAGCGGCGTGAGCGAACAAAAAATTTGTTAGAATTCAAGCTTTATTATCTGATAGCATTACCTAGCAAGCCGATTATTATCTGTTTTCTTCAACCTCCTAATTGCAGTGATCCCTGCCTTTAACAAGAAATGCTGAGCCAAATCAGAGACCCCTTTCTCAGTGAATACAACGTCTGGTTTAACACGGATCACATCATCACACATTTTCTTTATTGCAGCCTCTTCCTAAATAAAAAGCAAAATTTAATAAGCATCAAAATCAGGTTAGAAGATTAAAAATAACAAATATTATTAATTTTGACAAAACCGTAGAGAACCTGCTCGAGAACTTTGCTAATATCTTCTTCATGCATAATCTCCAGGGTTGTTTGGCTCTCACCCTTCTTATATTCTAGATTGCAGTCAAGAAGAAGAACCCGCGGCTTTTCTATTCTTCTCGCCATTTTCGCGTGCGTCACGTCCTTATTTAATACCACTCCCTTCACAACACAACTATCTTCAATTGTACCTCCAGGAATCTAAACAAATATTGTTCAAAAGATACTGCTTTGTTGAATAAGGGAAACAGTAGTGAATAAACTTGTTAATAAAAGTTTTTTTGAAAATTACAAATCCACCAAAAAAGAAGGATACTGAAAGCAAAAAAACCAAGAAAGACCTTTTCGATCCTACAATATCGTTTTATATCAATTTCTTGATGTCCATATCTCGTAACAGAAACAGTTTTTACGGCATCTAGAGCAATTTTTACTGCCAAGTCCATCCATTTAGCAAGCATTTTAGTTCCCAAGCAAGACTTAACTACTTCAGCTACTTCCTTATCTTTGCTTACGTCAATTGGCTTGCTGAAAAGCAGAACAATAAAAATTGTTGTAATTTTCATATATTCAACAAAGATGCAAAACAGACCTAAATTTCGATTCAGCTAAGGCAATCATTTCGTCTAAAGCCATACGGTATGCCTAAAAATCTTTATTTAACTCAGCAATTAACGACAAAATTTAGTTTAGAGTTAATGCAAAAAAAAAAGCATGATAAGAAAAACCTGAATAATCACTGTTGGATGTATGTTTTGATCCAAAAATTGCTGGGCTTGAGCCATAACCTCTCCAGCTAGAACGATCACAGATGTTGTGCCATCACCAGTTTCTTCGTCCTGTGTTCTAGCAATATCAATCATTGATTTGGCCGCAGGATGCTTCACAGTAATTTCGCGTAAAATAGCATTCCCATCATTTGTCATTACAATACCTAAATTGACTAATATTTTCAATCCAGTCAGTAGGTTAACATCTTGCTCATTAAGTATAGTATCAACTATAATGTTAAGCGGAAGTAATGAAAACAGTTAGACTTAGCTACCTCCCATAGGATCCATCAGCATTTTTAACATCGCGCAAGGACCCAAACTAGTTCGAATAACGTCCGCAATTGTCTAAAATTAGTAACTGGTATATAAAAAGTAGCAGAGTAGGACAGAAATGAAGCTAGCTATAGAGAAGCAGCATTCCCCGCTTAATTGAAAAAAGTAAAATTACTAAATTTAAATTTATACATTACTGCTACTTGCTCTCATTAAACCTGAAAATTCCTTCGACATACAAAAGAAAAAAAAAAAGAAAACAGCTAATTCAAATGACAATTACTTTTGCGGCAGTGATGTTTCCTGTCTGAACTTGATGTCCAGTTTCGCGCTTTGTTTCTTGGCTTAAAACGATAATTGGCGCACCTCTCATCATCTTTGCTGGTTAAAGTTTGTATATTTCACCAATATTCAAGAAACCCTAGCTAAAATACTGAAAAACGATAATATTTATTAATCTCAATTTCATCAAAGCAGCACCCAGCGGAAGCATATTATTACAAGAATTCGAGTCTTTGCAAAACCAAAATTAAAATCCCTTTATATTAAACTACACAAAAATTATAACACACTGTTTGGTTTCCAACACCTGAAACTTTTTATTACCGTATCAAGTTGCTATTAAAGTTATTTTTAACCAAAAAAACCCAATAAAGGCAACTCAATAACATATGCAAACAAAAAAGTTAAAGCAGTAAATCTGAATAAAAACACATCAGTTGTACCTACAGGAATTACACACAGACGTGGATCTCTAGAAGGCAAGAAAAGAGTGTACCACATCTATGAAACAGTAAAAGCAAACCAAAATATTTAGGTTTTAACTTGAATTCAATAACTGTAGCAGAATTAGAACTTCCCCATCAAAGGAAAATAAATAATTATTGCTACACAAAGCATACAAAAACTTTAGTTTCTTCGCTAAACATGTTCCTCGAAACAATTATTAAAATGGTTACGACCTCGGGAGGGACGTGGAATGCCGTAAAGTTTTCAAAATTTAAAGACTGCACATAAAAGGAACTCGAAAGGGTGACAATCCGTCGTCAATAATTCTAAACCGTTTGAAAGGGAATTTTTTAATAAATTTTTCTCCTTGCCCATCCAGTTATGTCCATTGCGCTGTAGAGACCTATACATCTCGTATTTACATAGATTCTCTAATCCTACCTTCTTAAAAGATGTTTAAAAGTAGGAGTTTCAAAGCCAAGAGTGTTCTCAAATCAGTGACAATTTTGCACAGGTGTGCTCTGAAGAATTTATCCTTCACACAGCACTTGGGAAGCTGCCAGGCACACTTTATCTCTTCTTCTGCACAGTCAAATCTACGAAACCATAACGCAAGCCACATTTATCACCAGTCACCTCGGTAAATGCTGTACGATATGTTTGCCCAAGCAACTGGAAGCCTTAAGTTCCAAATTGAAAGCGACGAAAAACACGTATAAGGGACTTGTCCAGTATATAAATTAAGGCTAAGAAAGGTACAGTGTTTTTGCTGGCCGAAAATTCAAGCTAAGAAAGAAAAAGCTGCATCGACTCTACTGTTTTATATCACAAATAAATAGCTCGATGAAGTAAAATAGTACAATGAAACTTTTTTTTGCAATTTTTGTTTCATTTCTCAAGCAATCAGTTGAACAATTGAAAAATTACAAGTTTTGTCTTTTTATGCTCAAGAAAAAATATAAGTTTTTTTAGATGACTAACCGTAAAGGTAAACGTCTTCTGACCACTGCCTTTTTTCGGACAAGAATTTTTCACCGACTATACGCAACTTAAACGGGGAAAACATAAATTTATACCGAACAGTTCGCTAACTGGCATTTGAAAAACGTATAGACACTCAAAGAACGTCGTCAAGATTTTCTGCTGCAGGTTGAAATTTCATTACTTTTTTGGCAAATTTCCATCCGAAGGTGATTCAAGCTGCAAACAGCGCTCATCAGCTGTTAACCGGATCATACTCCGGAAAACTTGTAAAGTGCACTTCATTCTAGAAATTTCTGTAATGTCGTCGGATTGCTGAATGTAGTAGGGGGCGTTGTATGGGTTTATTGTACTGATATACATATGTAGTACAGGGTGTAGTATATATTATATAGTATATAAATATTAATATTATAGACGCCTGTGGATAATTCTGTGATATCGGTGCTAACATGGGTAGGGGTATTGTTATCACTGTGGACGAATGTTACTTGAGATAGAAAAACACATAATTTATTAGTTATTCACAAAAACTGATGTCTTTTGGACAAAGTTACCCGACGTTTACTTTTTGTAAGTTCTTTGTAACAGGTTTTCTGCTATTATTCATTGTGGTTGTGTGTAAATGAGTGGCAAAGAGAAAAAAAAAAGTTTTTTAGGAGCTGTTTAGGAGCTAATTATTCAAAAATTTTACTTGCCACTAGAATAAGTCCATCGTCAAAGTCATGAGATCAGCACTTTTTTGCTATAAATTCATTTTCATTTCTTTTTTAGAACTTTTTTTTTCTTTTCTTTTTTTTTTTTTTTTTTTTTTTT